TCTCCCTCAGCATCAGCCAGGGTCTTCCCTTGCTCAAAGGTGATGAGTTTGGAAATTTCTTTCTGAAAATGGAACACACAAAGTTTATGAAGGTTAGAAAAGTGCCCACCCATGAAATAGAGTGCAGGGATAAGACAGCTGAATAGACAGTTGAACCGCACAATGAGCAGACTGAGCAGAACACAGAGAAACCTATACTGACTGATTTGCTCCTTGTAGACAAGAAGCCAATGACCCACACAGGTGACATTTAAAAAAAGAATCAACCATGGGTTGGCTTATACTCTAATGCTTTCAGGTATCACACCACAAACACACCAAAAAAGCAATCTGGAAAACCCAAAGACACACTAACATACTTGTCTTCATCAACTGGCACATTCTCCATTTTTGGTCTCTTGGTAAAGGGACAAATGCAGGATAATATTCAGTAAAAAGCATTGCCTCTCTGTCCCCATTTGATGCACCTCTTGCCAGTGTCTCAGTTGGCTCCTCAATCATGGCAAGAACTCTGTAAATCCCAAGTCTTTCAATTTAATTCCTAAAGTCAGCTGCAATGCATTCAGGGACAGCCATCACACACAGCCATGGTGTCTCACCAGATTGTCTTTGATCAGTTGTTGATAACGCAGAAAGATTTGCTGACGGCTCAAAACAGATGTTTCTGACCAGCTCCAAAAAGCCTTTTTGCAAGAAGCCACAGCTGCTTCCATCTCATTTGCTGTGGCTTTTGGTACACGGCCCACCACTTCATTTGTGGCCTGAAAGAAAAACCAAATTGCATCAAAATTCAACTTTTCCCATCTGTCCCTGCCAACCATTCAGCAGTCATTTCCCAGCACACACCTACTATCCTTCTTCTAGAAGGAGCTGTACTTCTGACGGGAGAGCACAAAAGAGACTCTTTCCTTGGTGCATACAAAAGGCCTGGGCTACAACTGGAGTAGTTCTGAAAACCTGCATCTCAAATTAGGCACCCAGAAAACTGCAAATGCAGTGTTCATTTCCAAGTTGGAGTTGAAGTGACTTGTCTACCTTGAAGCTTCTAGAGAGTATAAGGCAAAAGTTTCTGTAAACTGTGGTCTTAACCCTCTGCGTCACCTTGGCTCATCTGCTGTGTCTCTTGCACATTAAATGAGGCACTGTTCCTTTGGGAAAAGCAGTACATAACTGTGTAATTGGCATTGATGTTAGCTTACCTACACCCCTTAGCCAAAGTAATATTTTTACAAGCAACCTTAGTTCTACAGTATTTTAACTTTAAAAGCTTGACATTAGTAGTTTAACCTCCATCTAATGTTCTCTTAAAAACTAAATCTGCTTTGACACGACAAAAACTTCAGGTATATCACTAAGAGAAAAACTACTGCAAACAAGAGAAAGAAAATTAAATAAGAACATTGGTTGCCACATAGAGACCAAATGAGATACAGGAACATCGCTTGCTGCTCTGATCACTTCCACAAAGCAAATCAAAATAGAGCTTTACTGAGAAAAAATTTAGAAACTGCTGTCCAAATGCTTACTAGAGGGGTCAGAAAGGTCAGAATTCCGAGTGCAACCTCATTTCCATTTGTCTTTGGTGTAGTACTTAGACAAGTACAAGTGCTACTAGTCCAAGATTATTTTGCACTGCATAGCATCCAACTTCTAAATTCTCTGTGATTATTGTGGCTCAGAGGCAGAAACTCTGAAAGGAGAGGAGCTTCAGTTATCAGGATTTTTCACCTTGGTCTGAGAGTGATATCTGTCTCTATCAGGACTTCACGTTCAGTTGGCATCAAATTACACCCAGCTGATTTCACATACAGGGTGAAAGACACCCTTCAGAAATTTGACATATTGATCACAAAGCCTTTCTACGAGAAATAAAAATATGTAAGCAGAGTTTAAGTTTCCTTTCTGGAGATCAGGGGCTTACTACACAGGGGAGGTAAAGGAGGTAGTAACTTTTCTGAGACTGACATTTCATGGGAAAAGGAAACTGAGAAGCAATAATCCATCTTAAACTCCAAGCCTAAATCTTTCTCAAGAAATGTATGTACTCTCCCCTTTCACTACGTCCTTGAAGAGAGGCACAGATCTGTGTTGCACAGTGCTTACAATTATAGAGACTGAGACCATTTCACTTACGGGGTTGTGGATATCAATCCATTCAGTAGTTTTGGACTCAATAAACTTCCCATCAATGAAGAGTTTGGTTGTTGGCTGTGGAGGATAAAACACTGGACAGTGAGTTATTTTTGTCTCATGGTGCCTAAGTACCAGTGTGCCATATTGCATGCAAGCCTTCATCATTTACTGGTCTGCAAACCACTAGAGTCCAGATCCAGTCTTTACAGCAAGACCCAGCTAACTGCTCTCTGACCCATTTTCTCTCACTTTACACCAAAACAGCCAAAATTCTTTCTAAAAGCATTTATAGAAAAAATACATTGCTATGCTTAAGTTTGGAATTATTTCAATCTACTTAATCGGAAGCTGAAAAACTGCAAGTCATAAATGTTCAGAAGAAACAGTTAATAATTCACCTTGTGAGAATTTCATGAACCCAGTGCACACTGTACTATGAGCTTCCTTTCCATCAAGCCACTAAGTAGGTTCATCTTTCCAGTTCGTAGCTACAAGCATAAAATCGGACTTTTCCCACTCCCCACTTGGTTTTGCAACTAAGAGCAAGAAACCTGCATCTGTGGAGTTCACAGTGACTGTCCTGGCAGGCAGCACAGAAAACAGAACCTTCCAACTCAGATGCGAAGCAGGCAAAGGGAAAGCTCAGGTAAACATAGAGAAGAAGGGAAAGCAGGCATAGAAGCTGTAATTAGCACTAGATAGGCAACAAAACTGTATCATGCAGGAAAACAGATTAGGACTGTATAAATTAATAAACTAGAAACCAGGAGTTGATACTGGGAGATAAAGAGAGAAGTAGGAGAAAGCCAGAACCCGTTAATCATGACACAAACTGTGGCTTGGGGAGAACAGATAAGAGGAAGGGGAAATGGGTCTACTATATGAAGAACAGAAATGGGACAGAGCAACAGAACTGGGATGTAAATGCAAATATAACAGGAAACTGAAGAAATTAGGATGTGGAATTATGAGAGGGAGATAAGGACTGGGATGCTATCCAACGTGTAATGAAGGGAAAGAGATCAAAGGAAAGAGATCAGAGGAAGAATCATGAATATTAATGATGTTGGTTGGACAATTAATGACAGCAAAAAGTGGATGAAAACGAAAAAAAGTGAACAGCAATGAGAGGGCACAAACTAAGAAAGCTTGGAACAAGAAAGCTAGGATGAGAAAAGTAAAATAAGTTTGTTAATGGATAAGCAAGACCTAGTGATTTGGGAGGCAACACTAGGAGAGAAATAAAAATAAAAAGTTGCAGATGATTATGTAGCTGGAATCACACTTGGGGAACAGAGGCAGAAAGCTGTGCCTATGAAAACACAAAACCCTCTAGAACCTGGAAGGAAGCACAGGAAATCTGATTCTCTTGACTGAGTTTCCCGACTGTCAAGACAAGGTGCTGGTCTAGTGCTGGTTTGAAGAATGACAAACTCCTATGGCTATCAATCACTGCAGTAGCCCAAGTGCCGAGTATCTGCAATAGAGCTACAAGCTCCTGTACTACAGGACCCACATGGGCTTCAGTTCAATGGAATTTATGTTTTTTTTCAAATAGCTTAATACACATTAAACGAAAAGATTGCACATACAACGCAAAAATATTTTAATCAAGCCAAGAAATGCTGAATTAATATTGACTGCACTTTTTCCATAAGATCACCACCTTTTCTTTATGTAGAGAATGCCTCTGCTGTGGGAATATGGACGGCAGTAAAGCAGAATATTTGTGGAATCATGGTTTAGCTATTCAGAGTTTGGAGAGTGTGCAGCCACGGACAGCAGAACTAAAAAGGCACTACAACAACTAAAGGTGTTCGATACTGCCCCAAGGAAACCAGATCCTCTCTCTGCCGCAGATGCCATGAGGCCAATCCAGAGCCACCAGGAGTAACGGGAGGTGACTCCCTAGGCGGCCGCACCGCGACCCGCGGCGGGAGCTGCCCGGCGAGCATCGCTCAGCTCCGAAGTCCGCTCATGGAACTTTTTTCCGTCCCTCTCGTCGAGCGCGGGGGCAGTTCCGACGTTCCAGAAATACCCACTCGGAGCCACCGGGCGGGGATGGCTGGGGAGCTGCGCCGAGCCGAGCTGAGCCGAGCCGGCACGAACGGCCTTGGCAGGGCAGACCCGAGCGCCCGGGGCTCTCCCGCGCCTCCCTTCCCCCGCCGGCCCCGATCCGCGGGACGGGCACTCACCACCGAGGAAGAGAAGGAGGCGGCGACTGCGCTGGTCCAGGGGGCACCGGCTCTCCGTGGCAGCTGGACAGAAGGGGAAGCACAGACCACCTCAGGGCTCCCGTGCGTCCGTCAGCTCCCACCCCCCCGCCCCCATCGGCTGCTCCCCGCCCGGGGTCCCGGGGCCAGACTTATTTTACATCAATAACGTGAGTTTAAGCACATTTCTTCCAGCAAATCAAAGCGGTCCCGGAGCCGCGACCCCCCTGCGCCCCCACGAGCCGCGGGAGCCGCCGCGGGCCCCGGGGGCGGCCGCCTCACCCTGAGGGCCACTCCACGCCGCCCGCCCCAGACTCCCCGCGCCGCCGCCGCCGCCATCCCGGCCCAGGGTCGCTGCTCCGCGGCCCCCGGCGGCGCCCCCCGCCCCGCCCCGCCGAGGCTCCGCCCCCGCGCGGCTCGCAGCCAATCGCCGACAGCAGGGCCTCCGGGCACGCCCCTCGAGTCCCCCGCCCCCCGTGCCGGGCCGCGGATTGGTGGAGGCGGCCGAGCCGCCCCTGAGCGGGCCGGGCCGGGCCGGCAGCCCCGCCCCTCGGCGGCGGCGACAGTGGCACGTGGGGCCGGGGGCGGGGCTGTTGCTCCTCCCCAGCGCGGGACCGGCCGGGAGGGCGGTGGTGTCACGTGAGCGGCGGCGGGAGTCACGGGGGGCGGGCGCGATGGCGGCTCCCGCGGACGGTGAGGCGGGAGGGCTCCGGCGCTATCCCTGCGCTGCTCCCCGCCCGGCACTCACCTTCTCTTTGTCTTGCAGGCGCCGACCTGGAGGCCTCGCTGCTGAGCTTCGAGAAGCTGGACCGCGCCTCCCCGGACCTGTGGCCTGAGCAACGTAAGTCCGGCGGGCCTGAGTCTGCCGGCTCGGGGCGGGGTGGGCACAGCTCGGCCCGGCCCGGGGCTTCCTGGGGCAGCTGCTTGGGCCGGGCCGGGGCCGGGCGGGGTTGCGGTGTTCCCCGCAGAGGCGCTCACCCCCCGCCGTCCTCCGCTTTCTCTTCCAGTGCCCGGGGTTGCCGAGTTCGCCGCCTCCTTCAAAAGCGTGAGTGAGCGCTGCTCTGCCTTTCGCGTTACCCCCTTCCATGTGGTGATAGATCTGCAGGTTCTCTTTGCGGGCTTTACGCCCTCGTTCTGTAAACCGTATCTCAGTTATAACTCCAGTAAATGCTAGAATAAGTCTCTTGTTTTTAATGTACCTTTTGTATATGTATATCTTTTTTTATACCTTGTGCAGCTTACTGTGAATGAGAATAGCAATTTGGAAGAAGGAAAAGGTTAAGCTTTAGAAAATCCTATTTTTCATACTGATTTTGGCTTGTGGATGCCAGTATGCCATTTTTAACTCCAAAATGTCCAGGAAAAGCTAGAAAACAAGATGAAGCATAAAAATATCTCTACAGAGCATACGGAATTCTCATATTTTTGCTGGCGGTGTAACTAGTTTTCAATACAAGGTCAGACTTCTTTGTATAATTCTAAAAATGTGCTTGTCTGAATATGAACTTTTGTTGTTTCTGAAACAGCCCATTACAAGTTCTCCTCCCAAGTGGATGGCTGAATTAGAAAACGATGATATTGATATGTTGAAGGGTGAGTATGGACATTGTGAGCAGGAAGTGAGGTTGCCAAAGCAGATGGAAATTCAGTACTTACTTAGGAGGCTTAAAACGTTTGTTCTTTAAGTGTTCTGGAGGTGGCCCCATGGCCTCAGATCTCTAGCTATCACATTTGCAGAATTTCCAGTTTAGGAGTCTCTATCTTGTTAATGATACATATTTTTCATTAAACCAGTTATTTCCAAGAGAGTATCCAGATGTCAGTGGCAGGCTGATATTTCAAAACAAGCAGTGTAATGTCTCATATATTTGAGTTACCTCCGTCATTTTCATTGCTCCATAAGTATAGCATCTCCTTATTTTGAGAAGTGGCATGAATTTTTTAAAGGGGCTCAGCTGATCACTTGGTGAGTAGCTTCTACTTGTTGATTGACTTGTTCAGAGGTGCACAACATGTGTGTCTTCCCTTAGAGATCCTACAGCTCTAATGGAATGGTAAGGCTGTATGGCAAGTTACAGAAGGACTAGCTAGCATGTAGATTTGCTGCATGTTGCAGCTGTTAGTTTGCAGTAAACACCCTTGAGTGTGCTCTGCCTCTCATGTGAATTCCAGATGGTGGTGTGTGATCACACCACAGTGACGTGTCACTGTTACACAGCGAAATTAGCTTTGACTTGCTGGAAGAAATGTGCTTAAAGTCGCGTTATTGATGTAAAATAAGTCTGTTTCTTTGCATACTTTTTTGTACCTTGTTCATATAGCAATGTGAACTTACAGAAACTTCCAAAATATGGGTCAAGTTATTCTTTGCAATAATGGCAGATTATTAGAGCACGAACCAGAGCCTTTTTCAGTATGTTAAAATTAGGGGTGGAGTCATCTTGAATTTGGAACATCTGCTGTTCACTGGAAATAGATCTTGTCAGAAGTATGGCTTGAAAATGCTCTGTGAAGTACTAAACAGGTGAACTGTCACTAGAAGGCTAAAATGTACACTTTTCTCTTTTCTTAGAGTTGGGGAGCCTCACTACAGCTAATCTGATGGAAAAAGTTCGTGGCCTGCAGAACTTGGCTTATCAGCTGGGACTAGATGAATGTAAGTGCTGTACACAGATGTTACTGACTGCATCACAAATCTTCCCACTAAAACGTGGTTGTGGTACGTTTTTAGTTGGAAAAGTTTTTTGGCAGATCTGGGAAGTGTCTGACAGTTACAGTTAGTGATCTTCTGAAGCAGGATGAGAAAGTGAGCTTACATCTCCAACTTGTAGCCTACCTGCATGGGGGAAACAGCAGAAATAACAAGTGGTTGTGCGTCACTCTGGTGTTATCTAGTGGCATGTAGACTTCTGTTCCTGACTTATTGTTGCTTTATGTAAGTCAGATCACTTTCCTTAATTTCACACTCAGATACTAAAACCATTCCTTAGAATACTTGTGGCAGTACTTCTCTCAAACTTCATGCACTGCCTCTGCAGTGAAGCTTTCACTTGTTTGTAGGATTCTCCTGTCACTTTGTGTTCATACTGTTTTCTGCTTCTATAACTGTTTTGTGTTTTTTTTCTTAACACTCGATCATGGCAGGAGGTGATGTCATTGAGTACTAACGGTGACCTCTATCCCATTTGAAAAACAGCCAGTTTTTATTGGGCTTTTTTGAAGAAAGAACTGCTTTCATCATTGCATTTAGCACTCTGTCGTTAACAGGCTGATCCAGCCTTGAGGATTTCAAGAGTACTGTGGGGTTGTTTAATGCTACCTGTACATACTGACATATTTACTTTTTTCTGTTTCATTTTGGTCTAACATAGACCTTAGTTGCAGTTACTCTTGGGCTACACAAAACACAAAAAATTTTAGAAGTCTTTCACCTTCCTTTCAGTGGTTAACAAAAAGTAGTAATAAACCTTTAGAATCTTTCTGACTGCAAACCTAGGATAGCCTAATGCTTTTTTATTAACAAATCATTAAGCCTGTTTTAACATACTTCTTCAAGCTTATTTTACTTTCAGTGCTAACATCTGTTAAAACTGTAAAGCATTTGATGGAGTAGAAGTTAAAGTATAACAACGTAAAACTGAGTCAAATGCAAAGATTAGCTGATGATTGGCTTTCTCATTTAAGTTGTAGGCTTTGATGTCAGACAGCGTTGTTCTGCTCAATGGAGTTTAAGCAGAGCCTGAGTTACAGTGAAAGGTAGCAAGGTTTTGTTAGCAATATTTGCTACATGCATTTCCATTTATTTTTACTGAGGACAAATGAATGTGTAAAGAAGACAAAGTGAGTGAACCGTGAAATATGTGAAGCCCAAGAGTTATAACCTTTAGTCTCTAGTAACGGAAATCTTGAATTTTCAAGCTTTGTGAAAGGTCTCCATGCTTGTAATTTCTTGTCACTGAAGTCAGTTTTCCTTTACACTGTAATACGTTGAATGCTTTGTGTGTCATAATATACATGTATCTTTGGAAAATTTTTACCAAAACTTAGTTGTGGAGTTTGAACAGAGCTTCTTAGGACTGTTTTTCCTAGTAGTGTCTTTAGGTTGTTTTCTCTTACAGACTTATATAAGCGAGAGAAAAAGAAGGAAAATCCAAAATATCTGTTTATTAAAGGGACTTGTGGTTTTGTCTCAGAGATATTGGATTCGATTATATCTTTGTGTATCTAAGTTTAATAGTCCCCTCTTGACTTAGCTGGTAAATGGAAATAGTCTGTCAAAAGGAGGTTGAAACCCACTGCTGACCAGTCTCCTCTAGATGGCAGCATGAGGCCTCCCGTCGAAGTCTTGCTTCTTTTCATTTTATAAAACTGTCATTTCAGTCACAGTTTGTTCTTCCCAAGATTGTATTTTGTGACGTATTTTCTGTTCAGAACATGCATTGTCTTTTTTTACAGTATTTTCCAATGTTCTATCAGCACTGAGTGTGAGAGACAGTTCTGCTTCATTATGTTAACAACTTTTGCTTCCAAATCTTCTACATCCCACCTCAAATCCTTCGTATTTTCAAAGACTTTTATTTTCATCCAAGTTATTAATAAAATGCTGTGCAGGACCAGGGTGATTCTTGCAGAACTCCATGAAAAATATATCTATTGAGTGACATTGCAATCATGTTGTCAGATCTATTATTGACCCAGATCACAGCATACTTTGTTGATATTGTATTAGAATTCATTAGGCAAAGTGATGTGGGACTGTGTACCTTTTGAAAAGTTTATTCATAGAGGTACTATTGCAAAACTGACATTAGATATCGGAACAGTTCATTTGACATGACGTAGTTTGATAAATTAATAATTACTGAATTACATGCTTTGTTTCTTGAATTCATATGAACTCTCTTACTGTTTTGTCTATATAACTGAGCTTTCATAACAAATGTGGAAGAAATTTATTGAATATTTTGTCCATGTTCACTGCTTTCATCTCGGAATGGTTGAATATTATTATCTGGATTCCATGTTCTTATTATCTATAATTCCAGCTGTCCCTAACTTTTTGGCCATTGATTTCTCAGATCCTCTTTTGGTTGCTTGCTTCTATCAGATCTCTCTTCTCTACAACTAATTTCCTCTCCTCTTTTTCCCATAGGGTTACCTTTACTTTCTGTCACCCTGGCTAGTTTGTTGACTGCCCCGTGGCTTCTGTGAATCAAATTAATTTGTAAATATATAATTTATGTTTTCTTTCCAGCTTGTTTGACCTCTGTTCTTCCACTGTCATCCTGGCATGCTAGTAGGCGGATTCTCGCTCAGAATATTCCTTGCAGAATATTCTTCCCTTCCTTAGCACAGAATTCACATCAAAGGATAGTTTTCCTTGAATGAAACAGGATTTTTGTAGCATGAACTGATGATTTATTTTTTTAAATTTTTGCTGTCCTCTTAAAAGATAGGCTATCCTTGGGTCTCTTTTGTGTGTTTATTCTTTGCTACGAGGTGGTTCAGGAGTTCTCCAGCAGCTTCCAGGCTCAGGACCTTGTATCAATAATAATAAAGTCTTCTAAAAATAAATTATTTTTCAGCACCTCTTCTGAGGTCTCAGCTTGTGTTTCCTTGCCTCCTTTTGCTTGTTGCTGCTTTTCTCTTTTTGCTTCAGTTCTCAGAATCACACAATCATTTAGGTTGGAAAAGACCTCCAAGATCATCAAGTCCAAACTTCTCACATTAGAGCTTCTATTTTTTTTTTCTGTTAATCAATTATTTTATTGGTTAGAATACATTGAAATAATTTTTAGTATTAAAAATCCCGCTTTGTGTTGATTTTGCTGTCCCTGTTAATGTGGATATTGTAAGGGTGGGAGAAGGAACTGGGCTTAATGAACACACCTACTTTTAATTGTTCATGTAGTTGGGAGGCATAATATCTTTTCTGAATGTGAGCTGCAGCCAGTCAGTTTCATTTCTGCCGGTGGCAGAAGTTTGATGGGAAAACAGGGTATAGGCTTATGTTATGGGCTTTTTCCTGCTCTCTGTCCCTCCAGCTTTGCTTTGAGTGGAGTAGTGAGCACTGTAGAATGAGGAGACCCCAGCTAATGTGGCAAGCAGGAGGAGATAGGTCTTACTTGGGAACTCAGTCACAGATCCTGACTCAATGTTTGTGGCCCAGAAAGCAGCAAATTTCAGAGCGTGTCATGTAAATAACGGCAAATTTAGATTGCTACATCCGGTTTTCCACTGTATGATCCATTGCACCTTTCACAGCAACTGAGTCAAAGTTGACTTTAGAAGATTTTTGATGTCTTGGGTTCATGAACTAGCAGCTCTGGGAAGCTCATGCATTTAAAGATATGCCTTGTCATCCTTTGGAATATATGTATACAGAGAGATGCGTCTGAGAACTATATGCAGAGAAAAATGTTTTTGTTATAAAAAAGTTAAAATAAAAAGTTGGTGTTTTTTCCAAACTTCGGAACAAACCTATGTGTATAAAAGTAACAGATATGTAGGATGGGGAGGTGGGAAAAGCATTGTGTCATTGAAAGAATGTGGTTGTCCAAGGACTTTCTGAAGGCCCTGCTATTGCTTCCCTGGGAATTTCTGATATTTTTCATGTAACACCTGCTGTACTGGTTCGGAAGTCCTAAAATGTAAATGTAGGTACCTGGTATCACAACCACATTTATAAAATCTCACTGATGCCAGAGAGATTATGTGCCTGTTATGCCATCACAGTACAGTTTTGGTGATACTGTTAGTGCAAGACTTCCTCCAAAGCCTATTCTTTTTAAGCCCTAATATCTTTGTGAAGGTAATAGTGCTTTTGTGCTGTCTGTGCCTTAAAGATTAGAAAATATGGGATAACTGACGAAAGAGATATGAATGCCATTTATAATTTCCCTGTCAGTGATTTTTGCTAGTCTAATCTCTTGTGTTAGATTGAATTTTTATCTGGAGTTGAAGCTAGTTTGTGATGTTCCTGCTATAAAATTAGGAATTACTGTATTATCTAATGTTAAGTCCTCATACTCTTTCAAGAGCAATGAGACAGTTCCTGAACCTGCTCAACCAAGTCTCCCTATTTATAGTGTCCTGTGGTTTTGTGTGCCCTGTCTTCCACTGGACTCTAGCAACTTTGCTGCTGTTTTCTTTGTAATGCTTATTTATTTTCCATATACATTCAAGCAAATTAAATACCAGGGTGCAGTGGAAGAGCTATTCGATGCTAGCTATCAAGGGCCCGCAAATTAGACCTGGATGACCAGGGAGATTGCAGGTGAACAGCAGAAGTTTGGTCATCTTATAGCACCAGACTGATAGAGGAAAAGTCAGCCAGCATATAGTCAGTCAGTGATGGTTTTTCTTAAGAAGAAGAATAAGAAAATGACTACGAGTTTTTAGCCTGGAGAAAAACAGCTGAAGCAGTATGTGAAAAAGATATGTAAAACTGATTAATTCAGTGTAAGTGTGAATAGGGAATGACCCTTCGCTGTTTCTTGTAGTCCAGGAGCCAGACAGAATAAGAGTGTGTCAGGACAGACATGAGGAAGTACTTGTGCTGCACGTTAAAGTGAGAACTCATCGCCGCTGGATATTGTGGGTGTGGAGTTTATCTCACTCAATAAATGAGATAAATTATTGGAAGATAAATCCATC